AGATTTAATAAAAGTAACAAAGAGTTCTAATAAATAACAGCAGCAGCCCTCCTTCACCAGACCCTGGCCCTTCCCCAGGCCCCCTGCCTTCACACTTCACAGGTCTCCAGGAGACACGAGCGCCGTTTGGGGAGGGGGTTGTCCCTGCCTGCCTTGCCTGGCCGACCCCCTGCCAGAAGCCAGAGAGCAGGGTTCACTGAGAGCCCACGTGGGCAGCTCCCAGGGTACCGAGGAAGAACAGAGGCAGTGACGAGGAGGTCCAAGCCTGAGACATCCAGCACCTCATGGGCGACTTTGGGTGGGCTGAAGAGTAACAGGCGTGGGAGGGACAGAGGGGTTTTGTCAAAGATAGTAGGCCCCGGCCTGAGAGGTGGGGCTGACCGAGGGTGGCCACGAGGTACCCAGCTGTCCTAAGCTGGTGAATGATAGAGGGGTGGGTGATGTCACCTTTCTCATTAGAATGTGCTGGGCTGGCCGGGCGCGGTGGCTCACGCCTGTAATCCCAGCACTTTGGGAGGCCGAGGCGGGCGGATCACGAGGTCAGGAGATCAAGACCATCCTGGCTAACACAGTGAAACCCTGTCTCTACTAAAAATATAAAAAATTAGCTGGGCGTGGCGGCGGCGCCTGTAGTCCCAGCTACTCGGGAGGCTGAGGCAGGAGAATGGCGTGAACCCGGGAGGCGGAGCTTGCAGTGAGCCGAGATCGCACCACTGCACTCCAGCCTGGGTGACAGAGCGAGACTCTGTTTCAAAAAAAAAAAAAAAAAAAAGAATGTGCTGGGCTCTTGTGTAAGTTCTCTTCATTCACTCACTGTAGGTCCTCACTACCCAAGGCACAGTCCTCAGACATTGCCCGGGAGCTGGTTATAAATGCAGAGTCTCAGGCCCTGCCATGAAGGCCCTGATTCAGAATCTGCATTTCAGCAAGAGCTCGAGTGATTCTGGCAGGTCACTGACTGCTTTAAGTCACCCCCCTGGTTTGGGGATGTGGGAGTGGCTGGCGGCCGGAACAAGTCAGTTTCAGGTTTAAACGTGGGATTGTCCACCTTTGCGGCAGGGTAACATTGTACCAAGAACAGGAAATACTGGCTGCTTCTTGCCTTCCTTTGTCCCAGGACGAATGCCACTCATCAATTGCTGCCTGCTTCCCTGCAGACCCCAGGAATGGCCCCATCATGCCTCTCAACACAAGATGCCTGTGCCTACATTGTATCCGTTTGAGCTGGCAGATTATACATAAGATTGCTCACTTATAACTTTTGGCAGAAATATTAAACCCACGGATGATCAGAAAACAAATCCTATATCTGTCTTATATATAATCACTTATACCCATGCAATGCCACGGCCAGTAAGGAAAGAGGGAACTCCGCGTGGAGGTCAGGGCACAGGGAAATGACACGGCACCTTTGAAGGGTAAGCCTCGAAAGGTCACTCTGTGTTCTGGGGGTCCCGTGGACACATCTGTCCCTGGGCATCCCTCCAAAGATGAAGGCTGAATATGGCCCTTGAGTTGGGTGTGGAAGGATGGGCCCAAGAGGCCAGAGGACACAAAGCATGGGGAGATGGAAAGTCCTTCCCCAGAACAAAGCCATCAGCTCTTGTGCAGAAAGGTGAACTGTGACCTCAGTAGGCGGTGCTCATCTGTCACAGCTGTTTGAGTTTGACAATGTGGGAAAACAGTAGTTGTGCTCTTTCTTTGGTTCTCAAGCATACCTGAACAGTTATTCTTATTTTTTAAGCCCGTAAGAGCTAAGTTAGACACAGAAATGACAATGCCGATAAAACCACGTGACTTTGACGATTGTGGAAACGGGTCAGTGGGTGAATTCACGTTCTTCCTCCTTATTTAAAACACCACACTTGAGTTGGATGCTTCAGTCCCCTGTGTACTTTGTTGAGAGAGGCAAAGATCCGGTTCTGAATCCGTGCTCGGATGGCTCTGGGCAAACTGGAGGACGCGATTGAAAGATGCAGATGTTTCAGTTCATGGTGGCTCGATTGAACGACGACGGACCTGGACCTGGAACGTGCAGGTACCTTCGGGCCCTGTGAGTGGGCCTTGGGAAAACGGAACAAAGCAATCTCATGCTGCATCTGATCGGATTGCACTCAGTGCCAAGTGCAGTGTAGACAGAAGCTAGCGGTGTGTGCAGGGCAGTGTGGCGTGCTGGGAAGGAGCTACCACGCTGCCTTGAGATATTGCCTGCAAAGCCTCAGTAGCTTCAGACCCTGGCACTGCCACACCAGAGAGTCACTGGGGGGGCTCTGTGGCTCCCCGTGGTTGGGGGTTTCCTGGCTCAAATGGAGATCACGGCTGTGTTTCAGGCAGGGCCTGGCACTGAAAACACTTGGTATGGGTGGAGGTTGTTCTTTTTCCCCGCATGTGATGTTCAACATCGTGCTAGTGCATCTCACGAGACGTTTGCTAAAACTGAATTGTGTACCTTGCTTTGTGTTCAATGAGTAGGGAGCAGCCACACTGGAGAAAGATTTCAGCTGTGACTACTGTGTATCACACACGAAATCGTGGCTTAAGGCTGTAGGACTCCATTACACCCTTCCATGCACACGCTACGTCTTCGCAGGTATCACATCATTAGATGTGATAACAGCTCAGCATTTTTACATTCTCCAAGCTGTCGTCATGTGCAAGGCACATTAGCTCCTCCTGGCCCAAAGCCAATATAAATGTCAGTATGGCCCGAGGGGTGCCTGAGAATTCAAACCATGACACTTGAAGCAGGTCTGGGAGAACCATCCTGGAGGGATGGGCTGTAGGTGCAGCTTCTCCTGGATTTGCAGGCTCATTCCCCAGTGGGCACCATAGTGGCTCCCCACCTGGGTTCATCTCTTGAATCAGTTCTCTCTTCTGCATGAGTATCTGGGTATCCCTTGTAGAGCCACACCTTTTTTATTTTTTGACATAATTTCAGATGTACAGAAGAGGGGCACAAAAATCCCAAGATACCTTCACCCAGAGTCCCCGAAATTAATATTAAGCGTATTTGTTACATCTCTCTCTCTCTCTCTCTCTCTCTCTCTCTCTCTCTCTCTCACACACACACACACACAGAGAGGAAGTTGCAGATGAGACATGCCTTTACTATTAGATACTGCTGCATGCATTTCCTGAAAACAAAGAGATTCTGTTCTGTAACCACAGTACAAAGAGCAAAATCAAGGATGTAGCATTGACACAATTCTATTAGCTACAGACCTCATTCGGATTTCTTCAATTGTCCTAACACTGTTGGAGCCAAAAGAAAATCCAAGATCATGTCTGGCATTCAGTTGTTGTATCTCTTTAGTCTCCATTAAATGGAAAACTTCCTGAGTCTTTCATGACATTAATGTTTTCATGACATGTCTTTCATGACATTTCATGTTTATTTGTAGAATGTCTGACCATTTTGGGTTGTCTGAATTGTCCTCGTGGTCAGATTCACATCAAGACTTGGGGCAAGAACACCAGGATGTGACGTCCTGATCATATATATCGATCACGGGGTCTCTGGTGTTGATTTAGCCCTCTGCTGGTGGTAATACTTTGGTTATAGTTTTTGCACTGTAAAGTCACTATTTCACCTTATGTAGTAAGTTACAAGCATCTTACTAGGAGATCTTTAGCTAATTTCCCAAAGATCTAATGTGGAGCTAGGGACTCGATCAATGTTGAGCTCCTCTGAGAATCTAGCCCAGCAAATCCCAGTAGAGTGTGGACCAGGGCTGTGGGGAGGGCACAGGAGAAGATCTTCGAGGGACCTTCAGGCTGGAAGAAACTTGAGCTACTCACCAGGTCTGCCCCCTTTTTGGCAGAAAGAGAAACTGGGATCTAGAGGAGGGGCGTGCCTGGGGTACAAGGCAGAGAAGGGCACAGATGGCCAACGTCACCGTCTTGTGCCCTGGGATGCTACAGGTTCCTGACATCACGGTGAGTGAGAGAGGACACAGACCCTTCTGCTCACCAAGGGAACAAATGCAAACTAGAGAACTTGTGGTCATGTTAGACAGGGCTTTCATCTTTTACTTTTCCTCCCCCTCCTGATGATCCTCTGGTTCCTATTATTACTTAAGAAAAAAGCCCGTCTGTCCATCCAGCTGTCTGTCTGCTATCTCCATCTGTGTATCCCTCTCCATAGCTAACCCTTTTTAAATTTCTACTATCTATTTCTATATATCTGCGTCTAAATCCACATTCAAATCTCTCTCGTCTCTTGGTTTTCTTACCTTTCAATGTTAAATGCTACATGAGAATACAGTGAACAATGATAAGAGCAAAAATATAATTTCCTTTACATTGGCAATAAGATTCATAAAATATTACTGGGAGAACATTAAAACCGGGATCTTTGTTTGAAAGTAGCAGGCAGGAAACACCAAGAAACTAGAGAAATTCTCTTCAGAAGCCCCATCTGGCCCACTGAGGGGCCACCTTGCTAGAGGTCATCCCTCTTCCTACAGTGGCATCTTGTATTGTGTAGGGCACTGGCTGGGTGCCAATCCCGAGTTGAGTGTTGTCCGATGCACACACCCTTGGCTGATGACCTCAGACTTGCCTCGGAACCCTGGCTTTATGACCCAACTGTGTGCTGTGGTCCAAATGTGTGTGTCTCCCTCAAATTTGAATGTTGAAATTCTCACCCACAATGTGATGCTATCAAGAGGTGAGGTCTTCGGAAGGTGAGTGGTTCATGTGGAACCCTCATGCATGGGAATAGCGCCCTTATAAAAGAGCCTCAAGGCTGGGCATGGTGGCTCGCGCCTGTAACCCCAGCACTTTGGGAGGCCAATGTAGGAGGATCACCTGAGGTCAGGAGTTTTAGACCAGCCTGACCAACATGATGAAACCCCACCTCTACTAAAAATACAGAAATGAGCCGGGCATGGTGGCGGGCACCTGTAATCCCTACTTGGGAGGCAGAGGCAAGAAAATCGCTTGAACCCAGGAGGCAGAGGTTGCAGTGAGTGGAGACCGTGCCATTGCACTCCAGCCTGGGCAACAAGAGTGAAACTCCATCTCAAACAATTGAATAAATAAAAATAAAATTTACAAAAAGGTCCCAGAGAGGCCCCTTGCCCCTTCCAGCACATGCAGACTCCCGAGAAGGTGCCATCTATGAATCAGGAAGTGACCTTCACCAGACACTGAAGTGGCGAGGGCCTTGATCCTGGACACCCTAGCCTCCAGAACTGTCAGAGATAAATTTGTTGTGCATGGGCCGCCCTGTGGATGGCATTTTGTTACAGCAGCCCAGGTGGACAAAGACACCAAGTTTCCTTGTCATGAGATCTGAACGAATAATTCACTGTGTGTGGTTTGACACTGCAGTGGCTGTTCTGACCCTCCACTGGCCACGATCTCCTCCCTGGATTAAATTCCTTCTCCTGTACCTGCTGAGATGTTTCTGTTCCCCGGTTGTGTCTTGACCGACAGTCTTCATGAAGTCTTTCTTTTCAAGCTTCCTCTGTGATGGTTTTGGTGTCTGGTCGTGCCTGGAAATGGAATAGAAAGGTCTAGGAGTCTCCCTTCACTTTAAAGGAAATCCTTGCTTCGCTGAAAACGGATGAAGCTGTGGGCTGAAAAAAATATGTGTTCCTTCTTTACCTGGCTTCTCTTCCACTCAACTTCTCTGTTCAGTCCCTGCATTTTTCATTTTTGGTGCACTTCCAATGATGTCTTACTTCGTAATCAGCAGTAATACTGATCATAGAAACTTTTGTATGTGCTGCTTTTTCTCTAGTAAGTCTCTATTTGAAGCAATACTCCAGTGACTAGCTAACAAGCCATCTGTTTCACAGCTATGAAGGATAATTGAGGCCCACTATTACTTTGAGGTTTAATTTCTCAATCTGATTGTGTGTATGCATGTGTGCAGGTGCGCGCGTGTGCGTGTGTGTGCGTGTGTGTATGTGTGTTCGGGGGAGCTTGTGCACCCATGTGTGTGAATGCAGCATCATACAGGCGACAGATGAATTGGTCGGCGTCTTTGAGTGTTGGACTTGAAGGCACACAGCCTTCCTGGTTGACCTTAGACTGGTGAATTCAGTTCTTTGAGGCCTGTTAAATTTCAGGTAAGGTCACTGCCATTTACGGAGATCTGTTTTGCTTGAATATTCTAATTCTCAGTCCGCAAACATAGTGAGTGTGTGAGTGTGAGTGTGCCCCAAGATAGGGAGGATAATCAGGCTCCAGCTCCGTTTTTCTGACCTTTTTATGGCTGCCTTTCCTCTGTGCCTGGGGTTCGTTCTCATGCTCCTTCCCTCGTGTTTACAGGATGGCGCAGCATCAGCAGCTGCAGAAACTCGTGTTCATTTCCCAGCTCCGAGGAGCGTCATTTCTCCAAGTTGGAATAAAAGCTCATCCTCTACCTGATTGGGCAGCTCAGATCAAGGGCCTAACACTAGCCACAGTTGCTAAGGCACTGCCAGCAACCGATTGGCTGAAGCCTGAGCGTCTGAACCAATCATTGCAAAGGGGGCGGGGCTTGCCCCATCCCTGGAACAATGGATATCTCAGCCCCTTGAGATCACCTGGGAGCAGAAGAAAGTTGAAAAAAGAAATCAAGATTCCCTTAGGATGTAGGAGGTGGTGTGGATGCTGGGACAACGACCAGTGCTGTCTACTGTAATTCCCATTTTGGTGATGAGCAGCATGAGGTTCAGGAGGATTAAATTTGCCTAAAGTTGTAGCTGGCCAGTCAAGCATTAGAAACCAGATGTATTTTGGCTCCAAAGTCTTGTGGGTTTTCTGTGAACCCACAACCACTCCCTATAGATTGGGGACAGCTGTGCCAAGCAGTTTTGTAGACTATCAATTACTCAGCCAGCCTGGGAATCGCTGCAGCATTATTGACAAAAGCCAAAAGGTGGAAGTAACCCACGTCTCCATTGATGAATGAATGAATAAAGAAAATGGTGCATCCAGGTAATGGAGGATTATTCAGCTTTAACAAGGAATGAGGTGCGGACACCTGCTATGACATGGATGAACCTTGGGGATGTTCTGCAAAACAGCCAGTCACCAAAGACAAACACTGTATGATTCCACTTTGATGAAGTACCTACAGTAGGCAGAATCATAAAGACAGAAAGTAGAAGGCACCAGGCGCAGCGCCTCATGACTGCAATCCCAGCACTTTGGGAGGCCAAGGCAGGTGGATCACCTGTGGTCAGAAGTTCGAGACCAGCCAGACCAACATGATGAAACCTCGTCTCTACTAAAAATACAAAAATTAGCTGGGCGTGGTGGTGCACGCCTGTCATCCCAGCTACTCAGGAGGCTGAGGCAGGAGAATTGCTTGAACCCAGGAAGCAGAGGTTGCAGTGAGCCAAGATCGCGCCATTGCCCTCCAGCCTGGGCAACAAGAGTGAAGGAAGGAAGGAAGGAAGGAAGGAAGGAAGGAAGGAAGGAAGGAAGGAAAGAAAAAGGAAAGGAAGAAAATGATACTAGAAGGGTGATTGCCAGGGCCTTATGGAGTAGAGATGGGGAGTTATCATTTAGTGGGGACAGTGTTTCAGCTTAGGAAGATGAAAAAGTTCTCGAGGTGGATGGTGGTGATGGCTGTACAATAGTATGAATATAGTTAACACCACAGAACTATACACTTAAAAATGGTTATGATGGTAAATATTATGTTATGTATATTTTACTACAATTTAAAAAAATAATTTTTTAAAAAGTTGTGCCCCAGAGAAAGTGGGCATTTTAACCTCTGCATGGAGGGGTTTGGCTACAATATTCAAAACATCTGTCATGACTCTGGAGCCTCCAAACCTCCTAACTTCACTGGCCACAGTGATGTCCGCTGCCTCTTCCTCTCTTGAATGTCATCTGGAAAAGCAAGTGGTGATATGTGGAAACGCTTCTCAATGTTCCCCCTGACAGCAATAGTTGGCCTGATGCTAGAATTCTTCTCCACTGTACACTGACCCCTGTTGTGTGTCTGTTATCAACACGTTACATGCCTACATTTTTAGCAATGTGTGACCTTGCACATTTGCTGCCACCCTCCACCCCTGACATGAGTAGTCTTGCATCTCTCTCCCCAGCCAGACAGCATGCATGGGCCAGAGTCATGTGCTTGGGGAAAAGGTGGGTTGTATCGGCTCCACAACAAGTCAGAGTACAGTGGGCCCATGTTTTGTAAAATGTTTGGCAAATGACTCTTGTGGGTTGCAGAAATCCAGATGGGGGAAGTTTTGTAAGTGTGATGTCAGAATGTTACATCTGCTGATCCCACGGGTGCATGGGGCCAATAAGAAGACGTGACTTGGTTTGTCTGATAAATTGCATGGCATGGAGATCTGGGGGGCACATTCGAACCCGGAAAACAAAGGCCATAATATCCGCAGCCCTCTTTGGGTTTGGGTCTTGTTAGAGCTGGGAGAAGTCTTCACATTGCCTAAAAGAGCTCCCAATTTTATGCACGAGGAAACTGAGGCATGGGGTGGTGAGTAAGGTGAGTTGCTCAAGGCTGCCTAAGGCTGGAACTTGAACCTGGGGCTCTGTAGTCTCAGCACAGCATCCTCAGCCCCAACACGCTGGACCAAGGCAGAGACTAAGGTCCTGGGTGTAACATCAGACTGCCTGGAGGGCTAAGGCTCTGTTCCATCTGCTGAAAAGCTGTGCCACCCTGGGCAAGTTCATTCCTTTCTCTGAGCCTCAGTTTCCTCATCTGAAAGCAGGGATTACAACAGGGCTTGTAGGTAGGGGTGTGTGTGCTGGGGGGAGCTAAGTGGTAGTGAAGATGATGAGTGTGAACAGATGATGGACAGCAGCATGTGCCCAACATTTCATGTCCAAATTCTCACTATGCCCACTCAGCCTCCATGCAGCCCCACAACATGGGTACCACTGTCCTATCCCCTCCCATTTAATAATGAGGTGGCCAAGGCTACTTAAGAAAAGAAATGAGGAGGAGCCTGTTGCATCCAAAGATCCCAAACCCTAAACCTCTTTTACACATAGCTGGGAAGAAATGCACTTACTTTCCCTGGCCTTGGGCCAGTGGGTTGTTTAAAAACCTTCAAGGGAGCGGGAAGATGCAGCCCACAGCACAGAGACGGCCTTCCCGGGTCCTCGAGAAACAGGTATTTCATGCCATGTTGGCACAAAAGCGCCTGCCAACAATCCCTGTGCTTGTCTGTCTGGACTGTTGGATAATTTTACAAATTGGCTTTTGCTGGCAGGGGAGGTGGGTGGATGTAGGTAGTGGAATATTCCAGTAGGTCACAGGTTCAGATCCAGCCTGGTGGTTGGTGACTTCTGGGGTCATCTGCCCTCTGAGAAGTTGTTTGCTTAAATTGATTGGGACCCTGGATCAACGCATTCGGCGAAGCCTGTTAACCTACTTGATTCCAGGCCTGTGCTACCTGCTGAAGACATAGTGGTGAGCAAGACTGATATCTTGTGTTGATGAAAGTTTAAGTCTAGTAAAAAAGAGAGATCATCATCCAAGCTTTAACAAAGACTGAGGGTGCCCAAGTTCCCCCTCCTCCTGTTTAGTTTCTCACGGTTGGCAAATAAGTCAATAAATAAGCAAATTTTAAAAATATGTATATCTCAAGATGACGATGGAAACCTCATTCTTGAGTGGGGTTATTGACACATCCAACGTAAGGTCTCTGGGAAAGACAGCGTTCTGGGATAGCCTGTGCTTCCCTTGTCTTCTCCCTGTCTCTGCCAGAACTGAAAGTAACTGGACCCTCATCAGGAAGGAGAGATATAGCTTACCTGTCCAGGTGCAGGCTGAGGTGCTGAACATTTAGGAGTGAAGATGGGAGCTGCTCCAAGAAGAGGCAGAGAACAGAGCTCGCCTGTAGGACGCTGAGTCAAGTGATCGTGCACTTGTGTCAGACGTCACTGCTCAAAATAGCTGCATGAGAGGCTGCGGTGAGCCAAGGTCGTGCCACTGCACTCCAGCCTGGGCGACAGGGCAAGACTCCATCTCAAACAATAAAAAAAATAATAAACCAAAATAGCTGTATGACTCCTCCTCCTTTTTACTTGGGGGAGAGAGAGTTTGAGGTGGAGAGAGGAGAGATGGGCAGGAAGAACGGGTTCTCACCACGTTTTCCCACTGGTGAGAGAACAGGTACGTGTCCTCCTCTTAGGGAAAATCCAGGGGCAAACACAGGGTGCCAAGAGAGCGAATTTCAGGAACTCCTCCTTGTCCTCAAGGATGAGACCATGGATTCCAGATCCAGAGGACAGGTAGATGTTGGCCTGGCAGAGGTGGGGCTGGGGAGGAGGTTTTAGCCGGCAATTACTGCAGATCAAAATCCCCAAGGAGAAAGAAAATATGGCCTGCCTAGGAACTGAAAGAAGCTTGGAGTGTTCAGCCTAAAATGAGGCACTTTATGTAAATTAGTGGGCATGATTCCTGCTACATGGTATGTACCTGATGGCTTACAGTTATTTTGCAGAAGTTTACTTCTTACTGGGTGGAGACACTTGCCATTTGTAAATGAGAATAACAATTTGAAAGAAGGTAAGAACAAGAAGAAAACCTCCTATAGCATAAACAGGTATCCCTGCATTCAACATCTCTGAGTGGATACCTAGGAGCTGAGAGTCCAGGGGGAGAGGCTGTGGGAGAGGAAGCTGGAGAGGAAGCTGGAGAGGAAGCTGGAGAGGAAGCTGGAGAGGAAAGCAGGCGCTGATCTCGGGGGATGTTTGCACTTTCTCTTGAGGGCAATGGACAGTCATTTAAGGAGAAGCTGGTTGTGATCAGGTGTGGGTTGGAGGACATCACAGCTTGCAGGGGGACCAGTTGGGAGCGGCTACCAGCATCCAGGCAGGGAGTGCAGGAGCAGGGTGGTGGTGATAAGGTGCTGCCGGGATCCAAGAGACATTTGGGGAGTGTGATTGACAGGTTCCTGTGCTGACTGGATGGAAGGTGGAAAGAAGGATGAGTTGGAAATGATTCCTGGGGACTACCAGGCAGGAGATGGGTGAGAAAGAGAGGTGAGACGGTGCTGGGAGTCCAGGCAGGAACCTCAAGCTGGTCAGGACTCAGGAGAGAGCAGCAGGCTGGGGAGAGAGGCGGTGATGAGTGTGGTGGTTTAGGACAAGATTCCCAGGGAAGGAGGAGTGTGAGAAGACTTGGAGTAGAACCTCAGGAAACCAGCATATGAAGAGCGAACAGGGGATGGGGGGAGACTGTTTCTTGGACAGAAGGCTCCATGGATCAGAGCCCTCAGCTCTGAGGGCTGGAGGGGACAGAGGGCTCAGCTTGGATGCTCATGTGACCTCAGTCAGCAGATGCTCTATTAAGTGCCAACTGTATGCAGAACCCAGCACTAGGAGCTTTGTGAGCCCTGAGGAGGCGTAAGACAGAACCTGGAGGCTTCGTTATTTAATGCTTTTATTTCTCACATACGCCACTTGAGATATTCCTTCCAGAACTTTCTGTGCCCCTCAAAAATGGGGATGTGAGCAGCCTGGGTCTGTGGTCCCTGAGTTTGGCTGATCTCAGGACCAGTTTAAGAAGTGAAGAGAGGTGGATGCTGGACCCTTCCCTAAGCAGAGACTAATTCTATATGGGCATCACCTGAAAATCTCTTTGAGCGTACCCATTTCCTGTTGCTGCTGTAACAAATTGTCACAAAGTCAGGGGCTTAAAATCAACACAAACGTATTTTCTCACAGTAATGGAAGTTAGAAGTTCAAACCGAGACTTATGGGGTTCAAGTCAAGATGTCCACAGTGCTGGTTCCTTCCGCAGGCTCTGGGGGAGGACCCACCTTTGTCCCTTCAGCCTCCAGAGGCTGCCCACGCCCCTTGGCTTGTGGCCACGCCACTCCAATCTCTGCTCGTGTCACCCCCTCACCTTCTCCTGTCTGACCTTCCTGCATCCCTCTCACAGGAGACCCCTGTGAGTATAATCTAGGAAAAGCTTCACATCACAAGGTCCTTAATCCTGTCTGCAAAGTCCCTTTGCCAGGTAAGGTCACATTCACAGGTTCCAGGGATTAGGACGTAGACATCATTTGGCGGCCGTTACCTTGTTTATGTCACAGGGGGAAAGACATGCGTCTCTAGGCTGTCCTGCATCATGGTTATTGGCACTGACCAGCCAGGCTCTCCCATGCCCCGGCCACTGCTGAGCCCACCCTGCACCCTGGCTGCCCCCCACACCACCGGAGAGTACCTCTGCTCCACTGGGGCTGCTCAGATCTTCCTTCCTAGATCTTCTCTTCGTGCCTAGTGCAATGCTCCTCAAACCTCACGGCCCACTCAAATGGCCTGGGGGATCTTGTTAAAATCTAGCTCCAGCTCTGCAGTCTGGGGTGGCGCCCGATACTGCCTTTCTAGAGACTTCTGAGAATGCAGATGGCGCTAGTCGTGGATCACATTTTGAAAGGTGAGGCTCGAAGGGGCATATTTCATTGAGTTTCCATTCACTCCAGACCCCCTTTGCCTAGAAGAGCGCTTAGCACATAGTAAGTGCTTGACGAATGCTCATGAATGAATGGTGTCTCCATGGTAACGCCCTGTTTCTCAGGACAAGGATCTCAGCATCTTTTTCCAAGTCTTGTCAATAGGCCCTTGGCTAACTTTGGAGCTGTGAACAGAGATGAACAAGCCACAGAAGGCACCACACTGACTTGATGAATAACAGACCAGACGGGCAGGCAGACACTGGCCCCCTTTACCCCTGTAACACGCTACCTCTATTATTTATATGCTATTTGACTTGCTTATGTGTAACTCAAAACCTTAGGTTGTCACACCAACCTCACTGCGCCTCCATTAAATTAGGGACAATTGGGCTGAAGCAGCCCCTCTGAGCCCTCCCCATTGCCTGCGTGCGTTCCTGACTACTGTTAAGTCTCCCAGAGCTTACTGGGAATGATCCCCAGCCCTGCCTGGGCTTGGGAGCCTGCTGCAGACTCACTGCAGGTTCTGTTTATTATTGTAGAGAAGCAATTTTCCAGGGGGTTGAAATACTTGTTAAAATTAAGGTGAAAAATGTAAACCACAGCCAGGCCCTGTCACCTGACGCTTCCAAAGCCTCTTGTTTCTCCAGGCACCTCCTGCTGCAGGTCTCAGCTCCGGTGAAGAGGAAGGCCAGCTGCCCAGCAGACAGGGACAAGGAGTGTGCCCACAGCTCTGGGGCAGGCACAGCTGTCCTAGGGACTGGAAGCACCTGCTGAGCTCGTACAAAAAAGGCCGCTTGGGAAGGCTGAAGAAATCCAGTTGTGTGAACTTAACGAATGATTAGAGGAGAAAGAAAAAGAGCCTGCAAAACCCACGGGCATTTTAGGGACTGACCATCCACTTGGAGTCAACTATATCTCATAACGAACGAAGTAAATATTCCGTCCCAGCCTGAGGACTCTCGGCATCTTGGCATCTTGGGGTCTGCGTTACATCAAACAGAAAAGATGAAGCATTTTGACAACTTTAAATACCAATGGCAGCGCCTATTCAAGGAAAACCACAGAGGGGTTGCCTCCCCTACCCAGAACGCCGATTCTGTTTCCTAGGAATTACTACTTCTTTTATTATTATTATTATTATTCTACTTTAAGTTCTAGGGTACATGTGCACAACGTGTAGGTTTGTTACATATGTATATATGTGCCAGGTTGGTGTGCTGCACCCATCAACTCGTCAGCACCCATCAATTCGTCATTTACATCAGGTATAACTCCCAATGCCATCCCTCCCGCCTCCCCTCTCCCCACAATAGGCCCTGGTGTGTGATGTTCCCCTTCCCATGTCGAAGTGATCTCATTGTTCAATTCCCACCTATGAGTGAGAATATGCGGTGTTTGGTTTTCTGTTCTTGCGACAGTTTGCTGAGAACGATGGTTTCCAGCTGTATCCATTTCTGCAGGCACCCTCCCTCACTTTTTTTTAAAGATGGGAAAGGAGGGCAATTTAGGGAGACTTAGCCTTAAAAGCTCGCTAAAATGGCGCTGGCTGCAGTGGGAGGATGGAGCTGGAAGTGCCCTGTGCTATGGGGGAGGGACTGTGACCTCGGGGCTCTGCAGGAAGCCACATTCTCCCAATTACGTCCAAAGAGGAGTCAGGCACCTTCGGAGATGCCCTTCCCAACTTCCTCCAGAGATTAGATTAGCAAATGGGGAAAACAGTAGATTTTTATTAAACATGAATGAATCTGAACTTTCTTCCAAAGCAGGTTCAAGTTCAGGATACATCTTTGACAGTTTTTAGCAGCCAGCTCAGTGCTTGAAGTGGCCCTCCACACATATTTTTCAGATGATGTATCATTTCTGATATAGAAGACGACGGAATGTGGATTTCAGGATCTGGGTTCAAAGCCCAGCTCTTCAGCTGTTTGGGGCTGAGTGATGTCAGGAAATCCCTAATCTGTGGGAATCTCTCCATCTGCGAAGGTGTTAGGAGGCTAAAATAAAGAGGGGACCCTACCAGTTCTCACAGGTGACATGTGAGAAGGCAGTGATGGGATGCTTGGAGCTTTGATGGAGAAGGGGGCTGTCGGAGCCAGGCAGGTGTGGCTGTGATGAACCTCCCTCGGTCTCAGACTCTGTTGCTGTGCAGGGCGATGGGGCACTTGTGAGACATCCAGTCCTAGGGAGCTGTTTATGTTCATGACACTGAGATCATTAAAGCCCTATTGATCCCAGATTAGAAATAGGGTGATACATCCAAGAAGCAGAGACTTACGACTGTGAATGGTGCCTCTCCACTTGGTGTTGTCCACATATCATATCAACAGGAGATGATCTGTGGGAACTGCCAGTGGGGACACCACCGTCAAGGATGCCAAAAGGACTCAGAGACCTGGTTGAGGTCCCAAGATGAAATACCATGGTGGGGACATCCCCTCTGTCCCTTGAGCAAAGGAAGAAGGAATTAGCCCAAGTCTCAGAGCTCATGGGACCCCAGATTTTAGACATACCTAGTTATTCTCATGGCCACTGAAAAAGGAGTTATAGTGTGGATTTCTGCTGTTCAATGAGCTTTGGAAAAAAGTGTTGATGGACATCAGTCAGTTTTAAAAATTATCAGATGAAACTTCCACCTTGTAACTAATTTAAAATAGTATAGACAAAGGTACTTCTGGAGCGGGGATCTCCAGGGCAGCTCACTAGAGCCAGGCGCTGGGCTGAGCACTGTTGGTGCCGTCTCTCTCAGTTCTCAGAGCCAACCTGCAGGGAGATACTGCCGCTGCGCCCATTTCACAGACATGAAAGCATGCACAGAATAACTTTAAAAAACCAAACACCAAAAAGTGAGCAGAAATAGCGAGTTGGGGAGGAGGACCTTGAAACAGGCAGACGTCACAGCCAGCGTGGTTCTACCTGGCTGTCAAATCAAGTCAGGGGGTGTGTGTGTGTGTGCATGTGTGCTAAACACATACTCAGTTCTGCGATTTTTTCATTTGCAGAAACGTTTGGAGTCTATTAATCTGCTGCTCACTTTCGAAAATGCCATCAGCCTCTTTCCGGTAAGCATGTAGTGGGCCCCCTCCTTCCGAAACTGCGGTGTATGGTTGGGAGGTGCAATTGTTTGGCCATTTCTGAGTAGCGTGCATTTCTGCAGACTTCTGCCAGTTTGGAGCTGTCGCAGGCAAGGCTGCCGGGGACCTCTTGGCTCCTTTATGTTTGGGCACCAATGGTTGCTTTGCTGTAGGAAAGACGGTGAGATTTCCGGGTAGGACGCAGGCGCTGTTGGCGCTGGGGCATGGCAGTAGCTCTGCTGGCTTCGTGTGAACTGTGCGTGGTTCGGGGGTGAACGGGGTAATTAACTGCGCAGCCTGCCAGGCCCTCGTGTGAGTCTAGGACAGATGAGGAACCCAGGAATTTAATTCCAGATGATTACCTCCTCCTTTTGAACGCTGAATCTCGCAGGAGAGCTGCCAGGGCTCTTCACAAATCGAGGGCAATTCAGACGCTGGGTGGTCTCCTAATCACCAGGCAATTAGATGTGAGGAAGCATTTCCCCGCAGACGTGCGCATTTATTCAGCTGCTTGGTGAGCTCAGCGCCCCGGCCTCCTCTTGCATCCCGACAGCGCAGGAAGCTGGGGGAGCCGCACCCGGGCCTCTGTGTCAGTGCCTGGGAACCGCCTGAGGATTTCTGGGCGACCAGGAGCCAGGGCCGCCACCGTTCCCGGGACAGGGAAGAGGAGGTTCACATTTCACTCCTGGAAGGAGAAAATGGAAAACGTTCTACCAGGAGGCACGAATCACTCTGGCACATGCTGTAATAGCTGCAGCGGGAACGAATTCAGCCCATGACATTTGAATGTACGAGAAATTCTCTTTATAATAATCAGTTTCTCCTCAATCCAGTTGCACCTCTCTCCTGCCCAGCCCCATGCGTCAGGGTTTTCAAGAGATTTAATTTTGGTCCTTTACCCTTTTAGGGGGTTAGGCTGAGATCCTTAACATCCTCCAGAGTATGGTAAGGGCCTCAGGGAGTCTCAAGCCATCAGAAATATTTGGGGGAGGGGGTCTGGTGCTCCTTCCACCAGGGTCTCACTGTGGAGGCAACGGTGGTGCACGGTCACATCTCCCGTCGGGAGGAGCTGTTGACGGCACAGGTGCGTGGAGGTGCGGCCAGAGCCTGCTAAGAGCCGCAGGAACGTCCGACCCAAACTCTAGGGCAGGAAGAGCAGCGGGAAGCCGTGGGAGGCCAGCCAGCCATTTAGCTCCTCCCTGGGAGTCATTCTCCAGCTGAGCTGCCAGAGTCATAAATAAAAATACAGGATGCCCAATTAAATGTGCATTTTACATAAGCAATTGTATTCATGTCCTGTGGCTGCTGTAACAAATCACCTCAATCTGGGGCGCTTAAAACAACAGAAATCTATTATCACAGTCTAGAGGCCAGAAGACCAACGTCAGGGTGTCAGGGCTGGGCTCCCTCGGGAGGATCTTCTTGCTCCTGGGGCCTCCTTTCGGCCTCTTCCTGCTCCTGGGGCCTCCAGGCGTCCCTTGGCTCGTGGCCCCATTGCTCCAGCCTCTGCTTCTGCCCTCACACGGTCTCTTCCCTGCGCGTCTCTCCTCTGTCTTCATGTCATTCGTATGAGGACATCAGTCACTGGACTTAGGGCCTGCCCTACTTCAGTATGACCTCGTCTTAACTAATTACCTCTACAAAGTACCTATTTCCAAATAGAGTCACCTTCTAAAGTTCCGCGTGGGCATGAACTTCTTGGTGGATGCTATTCAACCCATAATAACAATGAAAAAGGTTTTTTACTTCTGCAGGACCTATTCTATGCGAAAATAGTTCTTTTTTTTTTTTTTTATCTGAAATTCAAATATTACAAGAGACCTACTGATACTAAAAACTATTCATTTTTACCTGAAGTTCAAATATTGCATGAGACATAGATATTAAAATTATTTGTTGTTTATCTGAAATTCAAATATTGCATTGGATACACTTATACTAAAAAGGCATTCCTATTTTATCTGGTAACTCTCTTCCTGCGTCCCCCGGCATCCGTGTGTGTCCTGCCCCTCTACAGTTCCGCCGTCTTGCAGGCCTCCGTGTTTCCGTGGGAGAGAGAGAGCGCGCAGGTCACCCACCCCTGGGGCACTGCAAGTGTTAAACCCTCCCCCACCCCTCACCCCCCTCCCCACCCAACTGGCTGCAGGCCCCAGTCCTGTGGGTGTGAGGAGAGCTCAGACTTTGGAAACTGAATAATGCTGCTCTTGCCTTCCTGCATGGGGGTAGGGAAAGGAAATGCTTTAGTGAGATTGCAAAGCAGGGGAAAAAAAAAAGGTCAATCAGTAACTCTTTTTTCTGTATCCATTAGAGATTGCTGGTGAGACAGCAGCCACTGCTCCCTGGCCTGAGAACAGGGGCAGCACCAAAACTGGTCAGTGTTTCCTCCTTACAGATAAGGGAGGTGGGGAAGAGGAGAGAATTTGACGACCTTGCTTATTAATTCAGCAAAATGTATTAAGGTTGGGTGTGTGGGGGAGTGTGCAGTGAGCAGATAGGGAATCCACAGGCTGTGACCCATATCCTTGTTTGGGGCAGAGAGACCCAGGCACAGCCACGTAGCACATGGTGTGGAATGGGGTTGCAGCTGCTGTGCCCAGTTCTGTGCAGAGCCCTGCACAGGGCAGTTCTCACGACAGCCCAGCAGGCTCAGTGAATGTCCTGTGGACACCTGAGGGACGCTGAGAGGTAGACCATGGTCCTCAAGGTCACGCAGTTGGTAAGTGAGGGAGTGGAAGTGACTGACTCCCCTTGGCCTGACTCAGAGCCCACACACGTGGAAACCGAAACTCCTGAGGCTGTTCCTTCACTTGGATGTGCATGTATTTCTTCCTTCCTTGAGTAATGATTGCATTTTACCATGGGCTGGAGGCTGGGAGAGGCTCAAGGCCACACACGGCAACATCACACGTGGCCCCAGACTCAACGGATAATACGACAGTCCTATTGCACTTCTAGAAATTCAGGATAAAAAAAATAATAATGTGCATACCCAGGGAGAAAAAATGACAAAGTACCCATCACAAATTACCCAAATAACATGCTTTACCATTTTTGTAAGAAGCAAAAATTGGTTAAAAGTACAAAAAGGAATAGCGAGAAATACCATGGAAAGGGATTCTCTACACTTTTAAATGATCAGGTAAACTGAAATTTGTGTATTAAATTGATGTCTTGGTCTGTTTTCTGTTGCTATAACTGAACACCTGAGACAGGGAAATTTACAATGGAAAGGAATTTCTTTCTTTTTTTTTTTTTTTTTTTAGGTGGGGTTTTGCTCTGTTCCCCAGGCTGGAGGGCAGTTGTTCAATCTCAGTCCACTGTAAGCTCCGCCTCCCGGATTCACGCCATTCTCCTGCCTCAGCCTCCCAAGTAGCTGGGACTACAGGTGCCCGCCACCTCGCCCAGCTAGTTTTTTGTATTTCTTAATAGAGACGGGGTTTCACCGTGTTAGCCAGGATGGTCTCAATCTCCTGACCTCGTGATCCGCCCGTCTCAGCCTCCCAAAGTGCTGGGATTACAGGCTTGAGCCACCGCGCCCGGCGCAAAGGAATTTATTTCTTATAGTTCTGGAGACTGGGAAGTCTCCAGAAGGGGCGGCATCTGGTGAGGGCCTTCCTGCTGGTGGAGACTCTCTGCAAGGTCCCATGGGAGTGCAGGAACTTATTTCTTATAGTTCTGGAGACTGGAAGTCTCCAGAAGGAGCGGCATCTGGTGAGGGCCTTCCTGCTGCTGGAGACTCTCTGCAAGGTCCCTTGGGGGTGCAGGAACTTATTTCTTATAGTTCTGGAGACTGGAAGTCTCCAGAAGGGGTGGCATCTGGTGAGGGCCTTCCTGCTGGTGGGGACTCTGCAAGGTCCCATGGGGGTGCAGGCATCTCAGAGCAAGGGGGCTGAGCCTGCAAGTCAAGCCCTCCCCTTCTCCCCCTGGAAAGCTGCTCGTTCCCACCCTCATGACCTCATCTAATCCTAATCACATCCCAAAGCTTCCACCTCTCCAATACCAGAGGCAGATTTCCTATCCTTTTACTGTCACCATGGGGACTGAGTTTCAACATGCGTTTGGGAGAGGACAACATTCAAACCATGGCAGTTGACTTAATGGATACAAAACAAAAGTTGTATTACAAATGGAAATTCAAAGGTGGTGGCAACCCAGATGCCACCTTCTCCCCCTTGTTTTCAGGGACTAGGCTTTGTTTCCAACCTTGGCTTTCTCAGGGAGACTAGTTAAAGCCCTGCCATCCTGGAGAGACCTGGCCAGCCCTAACCCCAGCCCACCCTGAGGTCCAACTCTAGAGTTCTCCTTACGTCAGATGGCCCCTTATACCCTGAAGCCTTAAACGACACCCACCACCATGATCCTACTGGACAGTGCCCTAAAATCCTCCCATGAAATGGGTCATTTCATGCCTGGAAGGCAGGAGGAAGCTAAAATCCCACAGTGTTTTCTCCAGTTGTTGGACTGTCTGCCCCACGAGGGAACAAAAGCCCTGTCAATGAGCATGGATCCAGAAGCCTAGGAAATCAGGCTGGAGCCTTCCTTCCTTCTGCTGTCTGCAGTGACCACTCTGGATTTGGGATCCAGCGTCCCTGAGACTGTAAACATCTGGGTGAGAGCCAGCCGTGGCTGAGCCTGTAATTACTGGCTGCAGCCTCCCTACGGCGGCACAGAGGAGGTGGGTGGAGAATGGTTAGCGGGGCCTGTGTGATATGAGTCCCTGAAAACACTCTCAATCAATGGGCAGATTGAGCCTTCCCAAACCATGCCACATACCAGCGACTGTGACATGTGGTCCAAATCAAGTTGGCTTAGCCTTCCATCTGGAAGGATATCATTAGAGGTAGTTGAAACCAGGAAACTTCACACCAAAGACATGAGACCAGAGTTTGAAACAATGTGGTATTCACTTCCAGCTCCATACAGTCCTTGGGTAAATGGTGGCTTAATGTTTGGCCTCAGAAGACTTTGCTCTTTTACTAGAGGCTAAATTTGTCCCCGAGTGCCCATGGCCCTGTGGAAAACTTGGGCTAAGACTTCAGATATGACTTAACTTTTGGTCAAGATACAGACATGCATTCATGCAAGTAAACAGACACATGCCTGTGTGTCTGCCGCGTGCAGGGGGTGGTGGGGAGAGGAGAAGGAAACCCACAGCTTTTCTGTTGTTTCAGGGACCTGTTTCAGGCCTAAAGTTTCCTAAAACAGTCGTGCACGTGTTTGTTCTCCATCCTCACTTCGCTCTGAGCACTGTGAGTCACAGCTTCACGGCAAAGCCCTTGTGTGCAGTGAGCAGTGGTTCACTCCTGGCTTTTGTACATGCAGGTCTCAATGTGCTGTGGAGGAGGGTGCTCCCCAGAGAGCAGCCCTGCGACAGATGGATGGAAGGACCCCCGAATGGCTGAATTGAGAAGAATGAGCATATTAGGAGGCCATAGCATTGGGGAACCTCTCAGGCAGACAGACCAAGCCGTGGAAACTGCAGACTTATTTGTATGTTTTAGTAAACACCTTTGCTTCATTTTCCCTGTCTCCGCCTGGACTGAGGGTCGCCTCACCTCTCCTGGTGTCCAGAGCCTCCTTCAGCACAGATGTTTCAAACCTGAGTTCTCACAAACAACGGGGTCCAGCCCTTCTCAACACGGGAAAGCCCTTGAGCCATCTTTGATTTGTGTGTTTTGATCTAATTGCACTACTGCTTGTTATGCTTGTTTTTAGCAGTGAGTGCTGGTTTAATTTGTTCCTTTCTGGTCTCCCAGCCCCACTCCAGAATTTTGGCTCCAGGAGAGGAGGGGCCCTGAACTGGCATTTTCAGTGACGCATCCCAGTGCCCTGAATCCAGTAAGCAGCCAGGTGTCTGTTGGCTTCATAGTTTAATGACCTACAATTTGAAGAATCGCAGAGATGAATTAAAAAGTTAGAGCCCCTGAGAGGCTCCCCGATCCAGTTGCACTTCCTGCTTAAGAAAAGTAAAGAAAAACAGGAATGAAAACATAACCCAATGGGTTAGTTCCATGCTGGCCATTGACCAGGTTGCAGCCACCACCGGAAGAAGGCCAAACGGTTAGAAAGACGTGATGGTGAGGAAGATGAGCCTCATTATCGACTGTCACCCACAGCCCTGCACAGGTGCTCAGAAAACACTTGATGTCTGGTTGAGGTTTGTGGAGTCCTAATTAGGGAGGGGGAGTCAGTCTGGCAGGACCCAGGGAAAGCAAAAAGAGGCGATAGATAAGCTCCAAGTCTGCATGTCTTCGTGGTCCAGAACACATAGTCATCCTGCACAAGTAACTCACAATCTTCCTGCGTCCAGCTGTCATTAGACCCTTGGCTGACAGAAAAATGCACATTAGCGAACCACAACCTTGTTGTTATTAGTACTGCACATCACTCTCTCCAGCACACAGCACAAGAACCACGCTATAACGTCCCCAGCAAGCCTTTGTCTCCTTGCCGTCAGCTCCTCTCTTGCTGGCCTGCCTGTTGTCTCCTTGCCATGTATTTTCCTACTTTAATAAATTTTTCTTTTTTTTTTTTTTTTTTGAGACGAAGTTTCGCCTCAGCCTCCCAAGTAGCTGGGAATACAGGCGCCCGCCACCCCGTCCAGCTAATTTTTGTATTTTTAGTAGAGACGGGGTTTCACCATGTTGCCAGGATGGCCTTTTCTCTTGACCATCTCACGATCTGCCTGCCTCGGCCTCCCAAAGTGCTGGGATTACAGGCATGAGCCACCGCGCCTGGCCTAAATCTGCCTTTCTTCATCTGCAATGGTCTTTACCCCGAGCCGCTGGCCCCAGATAGTCACTGCTCACCCATGACAATATTTCACCACTGAGATCATTTATCCTTGAAAAAATGAGAATGGCCACAGAATTGTGTCCAAAGAATGAAGAAGCAAAACAGTCTTGGAGCCTTAGGAGCAAAACATCTCCATTACTAATATCCTCCCAAGTCCACCAAGCCTCAGCCAGGAATGGTTCCCCACTTGTGAAGTATCTGATAAGTTAGTTTCCTCCCTTCCTCCCTTCCTTCCTTCCTTCCTTCCTTCCTTCCTTCCTTCCTCCCTCCCTCCCTCCCTCCCTTCCTTTTCTTCCTTCTTTCCTCCCTTCCTTCCTTCTTTCCTCCCTTCCTTCCTCCTTTCCTTCCTTCTTTTCTTCCTTCCTTCCTTCCTTCCTCTCTCTCTTTCTTTCTTCTTTCTTTCAATCTTTCTTTCTTTTTTCTTTCTCTCTTTCTCTCTCTCTCTCTCTTTTGACACAGTCTCACTCCGTTGCCCAGGCTGGAGTGCAGAGACGCAATCTCAGCTCACTGCAACCTCTGCCTCCCAGGTTCAAGCAATTCTCCTGCCTCAGCCTCCTGAGTAGCTGGGATTACAGGCACTCGCCACCACATCTAGCTGATTTTTGTTTTTTTAGTAGAGGTGGGGTTTCGCCAAGTGGCCAGGCTGGTCTCAAACTCCTGACCTCAGGTAATCCGCCCACCTCAGCCTCCCAAAGTGCTGGGATTACAAGCGTGAACCGCCACACCTGGCTCATTCATTCATTTATTCATCTGGTAAGTATTTATTGAACATTGTATTCATTAGCTTGGGCTGTCATCACAAAGTACCACAGACTGGGTGGCTTAAATGACAGAGATTTATTTTCTCACAGTCCTGGAAGCTGTAAGTCTGAGATCAAGGTGCCAGCAGGACTGGTTCCTTCAAGGCCTCTCTTTTTGGCTTGTAGGAGCCGTCTTCTCTCTGTGTCCTCACAAGGTCGCCCTCCGTGTGTGTCTGTGTCCTCATCTCCTCTGATTATGGGGACACTAGTCCTACTGGATTAGTTCCCACGCTGGTGACCTCATTCTACTTTAATTACCTCCATAAATGCCCTATCTCCAAACAGTCACATGATGACATCCTGGGGGATGGACTTTGACATGTGACTTTGTGGGGGACGCAACCCAGCCCATAATAAACAGCAAATACATTGGAGCTTCTCGAAGATACAAAGCCATTGTTGTGCATCTCATACCCTCGATGGGGAAGGAGCCAGTAAGTTACAGAGATCAGTAACGCAGGTGGGGACGAAGGTACAGAGGAGAGCCAGGCAAAAGAGGCCTGTTGGAGTGCGGGTGCTTGGCAATTTTAGAAGCTGAGGTCCAGGGGATGCTGGACTTCAAAGACGATGTCTGGGCCAAGTGCAGAGAAAGGTGACGGGTGAGCTGGAAGGAAGCCTGGGAAAAGGCACCTTGGGCGTAGGGTTTTGAGGCACAACTGTGTCCTGCCTGTGGCACAGGAGCACTGGGGCCGGTGTGGCCCGTGTGGCCTAGGTGGAGGTGGCAGGGGAGGCGGGAGAAGGGGTGCCCTCGAGATCTTGGGAGGCATTGACCACGGAGAGGCCTCAGGCTGTTACTTCTACTTTTGCCTTTTACCAGTTAAAAGCATCCTCCCATGCAAAGGCTTGAGAAGGATACAGTGGACTCTGGGGACTCAGTGGGGAAGGGTGGGAAGGGGATGAGGGATAAATGACTACACATTGGGTGCAGTGTATACTGCTCGGGTGATGGGTGTGCCAAAATCTCACAAATCACCACCAAAGAACTTAGGTAATCAAATACCACCTGTTCCCCAAAAGCCAATGGAAATAAGAAATTTTAAAAACCAAAACAAAAAGCATTCTCTCCTTAGCATTGTGTCCGAACAGCGGCAGCTGTGAGGACCTCGCCGTTTGTCACCCTCGGAAGCCGTGCCTCTCATCTGGGGCCTTGATCCAGCATCCCCGGCCAGTGTAGCCCCTTCAGCCGTGGGATAGGTGGCAGGCGGAGGGGCCAGCCTGGCTGCCTGGCATCCCCGTGGTTCTTGTAATAAATAACAAGGCTCACTGACAAATTTGCTGTTTTCTTATATGACTGCCACGCACGCTACAAAGTGTGAGGCAAACCACAAGTCATCAGCGTCACAGCAAAACAAAAACAGACACACAACAGAAGAAACCACGCTGGTGAGGTCAGCAGGGTAAGTTCTGCCTTGTAGGGTTTGCTGGGGGGGAAAGAAAAAAACCTGGGAGAAGGAGACGTGGGGGCGGGGAAGGCTGAGGTCAGAGCCAATATTGAAAGAAATCTATTTGTGGCTGTGGGCGGGACAGGGATGGCGGCAGGAATTTAAAGAGGCAGAAGTTCATTTCCTGCGATTTATGGGACTTTGCTGACTTTCACGCTCCGGTTCTAGGGACAGGGAGACCCTCCCTGCAGGAGCTGCTGCTAGAGGGAAAGGCAGCGTTGGCTCCGATGCCGGCCCCAGCCTGGGAGACCTGCTTCCTCTGCGGCCTGTGTTCAGGAGCGAAGTGTTGAGACCAGAATTGTTCGGATGCAGGGCTGGTCCCTGTTGATTTATGACTCAGGCAAACAGTCCATTCATCCGTCCGCGGCTCCACTTCTATCCCTAGCTTACTAGAGGCAGAAGAATGTCCCCGGGAAGTGGTCTGAGCTGCTTCCTGTGGTCGCCCCATTGCTCGGGGTGGGGGATCCTATTTTTAGAGGGCCACCATTGCTATGAAGGTCCAGCCAGCTCATCGGCACCGTGTGGCATGGTGGGACGCAGCACTGAAATTCGAGGGGGAGCTGGGCATTCATAGATGTTTCTTACAAATGAGAAAGGCCCTGATTCTAAGGCTCCATTTCCTCCTCTGTAGGTGGAAGATAGCGGAGACTAGGCAGGGAGGCTCAGCTGCACCTGACACACAACAGAGGTTCTCCAGGAACAGCAGATGAATGAGTACAAAATCAAAGAGGTGGTTTCCCTCTTCCTCCAGCAGACAAACCCAGAATTGCAAAGATCCCTCGATGAACTAATGTAACCATATCAGGCAAACTGCATCCCCTTGTCTGTCTTTCGTTCTCCCCCAGGCACACTTGCCAGCTTCCTCTTTCTGCGTCCTCCTGGGCATATCCAGCCTTCATCATGAAGCCGTGTCTATTTTCCACTTGCACACTTTCCTGGAAGACTCTTGGACAGCGTATCAAGATCTCTCATTTTCTGGCTTGAACTCACTGCAGACTCATCTTGTGGCAAGGCTCACCACCCACCATGCCGGGCCTTGTCAGTGCCCTGGGGCAGCGTGGATGGGCTGCCCACGCTCTCAACTAACAGACGGCAGCAAAGGCCATCACCTCCTTCTGAAGGAATCAGAAGTTGGAACCAGGCCAGTGTAGGGTGGGACCAGAACTGATGCCTGGACACATGACCATAGACTGTCCTTGCTGTTGGAGAGCTGGGGACCGCGCCATAGGAGGCTGTGTGTGGTTATCGCCTGTGAGCCCCCAAGACCTTCATTTCCTCATCTGCCTTTACTTTGTGTCTCCTCTGAACGTGATCCTGTGTTCTGGGTTTTTTGTTTTTTTTTTTTTGAAATGGCAGCATTTCAAATATGCTGTTTTTTACCATCAATCATTTCTTGCCAGCTGGGTGCAGTGAGTGACACCTGTCATCCCAGCCCTTTGGGAGGGCGAGGCTGGTGGATCACAAGGTCAAGAGTTCGAGACCAGCCTGGCTAACATGGTGAAACCCCGTCTCTACTAAAAATACAAACATTAGCCAGGCGTGGTGGCCTGTGCCTGTAGTTCCAGCTACTCAGGAGGCTGAGTCACACGACTTGCTTGAACCCAGGAGGTGGAGGTTGCAGTGAGCCAAGATTGTTCCACTGCACTCCAGCCTGGGTGATAGAATGAGAATCTGTCTCAAAAAAAGAAAAAGAAAAAAGAAAAAATGTTTCTTGCCTTGGTTTGAGTTGCCAGAAGCAAACTCTCGATCAAGGGTTCGTGTATCTGGGAGGTGATCCCTGGCCACGCCTGTAGGAGGGTGGGAGGGGAGGCAGGGAAGGGAAGGGCCCATTGAGGGCATGTGATCCCAACCAGTGTCACTCAGGGCATTTGGACCCAAATCCCGCTGGGGGCCCTGGACAACAGCATAGACACCTGCCCCAGTTACCCCAGCTCCCTTCAGTCAGTGACCGAGAGGTGTTCAGGGACAGCTGTGGCTGGGACCTGATGATCCACCAGCTCTGGGGCAAGGCACAGTCAGGCACATTGATGCCTCCTGGGCTCCAAAGGGCACCGTAGGAGGCTCAGGTGGTTGGGGGTGTTCCCAGGACAGAGGTGGGTGCTCCCGGGAGCACACAGGGGTGGGACTTTGAGAGTTAGGCCAGGAATCTGGGCAGGGATCCTGCACGCCAAGGTGAGAGAAGCCAGAGCAGTACCAGGACCCAAGCCTCCTCTGGTGCCAGGCCCTGGCTGCACTGCTCCTGTTCCCGCTCCTGTGCCCCTGCAAGGAGGGCATGCTGTTCACTGCTACTTGAGGCTCAAAGAGGGTATCTATGACCTGTCAGTGAACGGACCAGAGTATAGGGAAGTGGATGGGAGAGGGGCTGGAGGGGCAGGGCAGCTGCTGAGGGGTCTTGCTTATCATGGTAAGTGCCACTGTGTGATGCTGGGTCCTGGACTCTGAAAGCCAGGGGGAAACACTTGCCTGGACTTTATCCTATAGGTGGGCGGTATCCACTGAGGGCTTTGTTCAGAGCATAGAGTGATAAAAACTGGGCTTTGGGCCAGCAGAAGGCCGTGAATGAGGTTCCCATCACCTGTGCCCTACCTTGCCTTGGCTGTCCACTGGTCAATCGCCTCCTGGGGCTGTCCCCACAGAAGTCTGCCAGCATCCCTGGCAAGCATGTGTTTGGCGTGGGCTCGTGGCCAGGTGTGCTCGTGTACACATGCGTGAGCAGCGATGCATATCAGAGCCCCTGAGATGCATGTTTTCTTCAAGATCAGATACAGAGATGTGAACTCACAGAGCTCCGTGGGGAGCAGGGAGGGGACTGAACATGAGTGATATTAGCCAAACCCAACTCCCACTTTATTTTTCCATGCCTGCAAATAATAATACCTTTTCAGTCTTGTGAAACCTGGTACTCTAGGAAAAAGGCACAGAGGTTTAGGAAGCCCTGAGTACGGTTTTGGCCAAGCACGCCTTCCTAGATTCCTCTCCAGCATTCTGAGACTTGGAGAGAAGAGAGGGAGAAGAATCAGCTCTCATTCTCTGTATTGTCCATTTCTTCTCCCCGGTTCCACATTCATTCCCTGACATCCCTCTGCAAGGTGCTTTTCATTTAAACACCGCACGTAAAAGCACAGTGTCTGGTTTGGGTAGCACAGGTCGTCTATTGCAAAAGGATGTCTAAGACGGATGACTAGAGTGTGCTTTGGGGGATTTTCCAAGGGGGCCTGAAACCAAGGAACAGATACAAAGCCTGTGGGACCTGTGCAGCCCTAAGCTGGCAACAGCAGTTGGGGGAGAAAGATCTTTGCTATATTCCAATCAGACCAAGTCAAGATGAGCTCCAAGTCACGTCTCAATACATGTCTGAAAAGACAAAAGTCTGTCTTTAATCCTGTATCTTTCTCTGTTAAAACTTTTCTTATTTGTTTATTTATTTATTAGACGGAGTCTTGCTTTGTCACCCAGGCTGGAGCGCAGTGGCACGATCTCGGCTCACGGCAACCTCTACCTCTCGGGTTCAAGTAATTCTCCTGCTTCAGCCTCCTGAGTAGCTGAGACTATAGGTGTGCATCACCACGCCTGGCTAATTTTTTCTTTTCTTTTTTTGTATTTTCTGTAGAGACAGGGTTTTGCCATGCTGGCCAGGCTGGTCTTAAACTCCTGACCTCAAGTGATCTGCCCACCTCGGTCTCCCAAAGTGCTGAGATTATAGGTGTGAGCCACCGTGCCATGCCCAGCCTTCTCCTTTATTTTAAAGCAACTCCTTTTCCCTACATCCTTGGCCCTCCCCACCATCCACCCATCTGTGACCTTGTGGACCCTTAGCTCCCCTGCTCCACCAAAACTTATTCAAAGGAAAAAGAAAGAAAAAGAAAAAAATGGATGTCAGTCATTTACATGTTAGTATACATAAGCTATGGAAGCTATGGAAGGATTCCCTTTCTGGGCTGAGCTTGGCCTTCTGGTACCAGTTGTTTCAGGGCTTGACCCAGCAGGTGAGCTGTAGCTGAGCCTGTCTGTAGCTGTGTTGGCTCCTGCCTGGGGTAGATGTAAACACTTTTTCAGTTGCAAACTCATCAAAGGTGTTTGTGCACACATGTGTGCATGTGCGTTGTGTCCACGCCTGTGTGCCTGAAACCCTGCCCGGGTCGCCCTCCAGAAAGGAAGCAAGTGTGCATTCACACATTGGAACAAGCCAGCCATGTCTCTCCGTAACAGGAGAGGAAGCGGGGACTCCAGCATTTTTTTTTTAAATGGTAGTGGGCACTGACTCAAAGATGCCTGTTAAGAAAAACTCCATGTTCCTCTCTCTGCTGACTCATTTGGTGAGAATTACAAACCCAGATGCCAACATGTGGCCAACCGCATGACCCTGCACTGAGGAATAAAGACAGGATCATCTGAGTTCTTACGTGAACAAACAACAGAGATTCAGTTACATTTTCTCTCCGTGTTTTTTTTTTTTTTATGTCAGGGATTTCAGCAGCTCCAGATTAGGCATTCTGTGTGACCCCCTTGTGTCAGCAGCTCCAGATGGGAGGGAAGAGGCCACACGCTGGCACCTCTGTGTTATTTCTTAAGGAGGGGAGAGAGTCTTGCTATGTAACGGGGACAGGAAATCTAAAACCCTCAATTGTCTGATTTTCCAGCTGAGTCCTAGAAGTAACAACATGACCAAAGTTGGGAGGAGACTGGCCTGCGAGTCAGAAACCCTGGCTCTCGCCTCACCCTCCGCTGCTGCCTTGCACCCTCATTTTCTTATCAGCAAGTGGGAGAGTTGGTGTGGGTCAGGGGAGGCAGTTCCAGGGCACGCGCCCCCACCAGAGCCCGCAGCCCCGCCAGAGCCCTCCCCAGGCACCCTCTGTTGGCAGCCACGCCTTCCCCCACTGACCTTAGCATCTTCCTCAACCCAGCTCTCTGCGAGCGACTAAGGATTCAGCAGGAACCTCTCTATTCTGGGTGGTGGTCACTGGTGCTGTTTGCCAACCATTTCCCGCCATGCCCGTCCATCAGTCCCCACTGCGGCCGGGTGGGGCACCTGACTAATTCGGCCAGTGAAGGGTGAGCCAGTGAAGAATGGGCTAGGACGTCTAATTGCTAAATGGCGGCCTCCAAAGCTCCCTTTTGAGGGTGGGGGAGCAACTGAAATGACCAAGGTGGCGACCACTGCATGGGCCATGTCCGTGGGGGCTTCTGTGAACAGCAGCCCCTGCCTTCCTGTGACAGGCCTACAGCGTGAACAGGGAATGGCCTTTTCTCTATTTAAACATAAACCTGGAGATCAAGGCTGTTTGTGACCTGGGCGGGGCGCAGCCTCTCCTGGCTGATCCGTCCCCTACAGTCCCCCTGTTCTGCAGCCTTTCAGGTCTGGGTCTGGTCACTGGACCATTCCACCCGACTCCAAGGGTCCCTCAGGGTTCATCACATCCTCACACCCCACCGGAGAGTTCATGGAAGGGACTCCCATGGAGTCAGCTCTCAGATCTGTGGATCGATCCTTTGGGATCAAGTTTTTCAAATATCGAGAGGCACCAAATCCAATGTCGGAAGTCGGAACCCACAGCTTCCAGGGCAGGAATGTGGAGAACGCAGCGTGTTCAGGGGCCTTAAGTCACTCATGGATCTTAGCAAACAGCAGCTCTGTGTCCAGCTCTGTCTGCATCACACTTTCCATTTTGAAAAACCATTTCTCCTCCCATTTTTCCTTAAGGCTCCTAACCCTGGGGTGTCCAGGGCTGTCCAAGGCTGTGTGTTTTATTCCTAAACCTTTCCGCTAGACCAGCAGGAACCACGAAGCCTCTTCTGGCACTAAGCAATGTCTAAGGCGAGGGAAGGGCGCTGCGTGGCTGCCGGCTGATGCAATGCGACTCGTCCAGAGGCTCCTCTCCCGCAGGACCCGAGCGTCACTCAGCACCAAAAGCGTGCACAGAGAGAGGCGCTCCTTCCCTCGAGGACTTCACAGACCCGGGGTGGCAGAGTGGGGAGCAGAGAGGAGCCACTTGAGTGGGGCTTGGAGAGGAACCTGTCAGCCTCGAGGGCCCCAGGGAGGAAGCTGGCTTCCCTGAAGCTTTGGAAGAGAACCGGCGTCCCATGATGGTTCATCCCTTTGGGGTCTGGCGCCGGCCTTCATGGCATGGCTTTCCCACTTCAACTGTGTGCACTCTAAAAAAAAAAAAAACAAAACTGGACACCTTGAAAAACCATCTGGAAAACAGGCAGCATCATCCACTCCTCATCGCCTTGTGGAGGAGGGATGGAGACCCAGCTTGCTGAGGGCCTGAGCCTGGGGCCTGATGCCTTCTGAAAACCCATCGCACACTAGCCGGTGTTCCTGTATCTCCAACAGGAAAGGAGCAGCTGCACAATCTAATGGAGCCCACACACACTTCATCCCTGCCATGCCTGGCCAGAAGCCAACATTAGGACTCACTTTGGACATACCAGGAGGCTTTTAGAAGCCTGACAAGCTGACGAG